TTTGGGTTCACTGAGAGACCCTCCCTCACGTGTAAGTTGGAGGGTGATTTTGGAAGACGTCTAGTGTTGACACTTGGCATACATACATTATTCATTTGTACTTACACAATAACACTGTACACACACTGGTGCCTAATCTTGGTTGTCAATTTAGTCTCTCTCTCTCTCTCTCTCTCTCTCTCTCACACACACACACACACACACACACACACACTCACTCACTCACTCACTCACACATAGAGGCTGTTTGCTCCTAGTGGCCTTTACTTCTTCTGACTTTCCACTTTCCACTGGCATGCCTCAAAGGTGGGCATCAGGCCGGATAAAACTGTATCAGAACCACCTGTTTAACCCCCCTCTCCCTCCACTCTACCCATCCAGAACTAATTACTTTTTCCTACCTGTGTCATTTTTTTTTCCATGCTAGAATGCCTACCCCCGTGTGGTGAGATGTCTCTTGGCTAAATTATTTCCACACTTGCCAAATGTCCTCTGCCAACTTAGGCTGCATGGTAAGGGATGTTAGAGCTTTACTTTGTTATATGTGAAGTTGAGGCTTCTGCTACTGTTGGTGGCTTCAGCAAGTGGCACAAGAAGAAAACCATTTTGGGATCACTGCTATTGGGCTCAGATTTTCATCTTAAAAATTCTCTTTTTAAATTTCTTCCTCATTTCTTTTCTTAATTTCTAATTAACATTTTAAGTTTGTATGCAAAATAATTGGATTCATTATGACATATTATTCATAATATGAATAATTCAAAATATTCATTATATTTTCATACTTCTTTTGCCCTACTGCCCTCCTCTGGGACTCTGCCCTCACTGCCTGGTTCCCTTCCTTCCCCTAAATAGTCAGTCACTTCTGCCTTCATGTATCTAATACCTTCTCTTTTTCTCTCTCTACCTTAAGTTCTGATGAGCTCTTCTTATGATCTGTACACATCACATACACATATATACATATACAGAAATATATACTTTTAATCTAGGCTACATGTGAGAAAATATGCATTGTTTGTCTTTCTGAGTATGACTGATTTCATGTCACATAATGATTTTGGCAGTGGCTTTTGTTCTGGTTAGGTTTTTATTATCCACTTAACACAAGCTAAACTCACTTGGAGATAGGGCATCTCACTGAGGAGTTGTTTAGAGAAGATTGGCCTGTGGGCATGAATAAGAATTGTCTTGATAGTTGATTGAGTTTAGGAAGACTCACCTTGAACATTGGTAACACTGTTTTATTGGACTGATCTCTGCACTGTGTAAGATGAAGAAATCTAGGTGAGCAGAAGCAAGCAAGGCTGTGAGGGTGCATTGGTGTCTCTGTGGGTGTTAAGTTACTAGCTGCTTGAGTTCCTGCCTTGACTTTTCTGAAATAATAGACTGCAGTCTGAATTGAAAGCTGGATAAACCTTTTTTTCTCCTCTGTGTTGATTTTGGTTGGGATATTTTATGAAACCAACACAAAGAAGCCTAAGACAGGTTTTAAGGAGTATTTTTGCTTCTTGCTGTTTATTTCACTTTACTCTGCCTTTTCTAAACTGCCTTACTGAAAACTGCTTTTTTTCATCCTTGGTTTTTATATCAAAGCTGCTCCAAAAGCCATGAAGAGGCACATGCTAACACTGCCCCTAGGAGGTAGAATGAATGCCAATGAAATTATGCAGCCTCAAGTTCAAGGCGTATAAATAAAGCGGGTCCACCTTCTAAATGGTACCCATGGGTCCATAGTATATCTAGTTCACAATCACAGTCAAGATACAGGAGCTATTTTAATTGGAAAGGATGAAGCTAGGTGCCTTTCTGCATCTTTTATCATCTGCTAGTTGTCCCTGAATCCATACAGTGATGGAAATTCTACATGTTTGCTGAACAACTCAGTATACTCTGTAAGGCTCTGGAAAAGTAGTGCTGTGTGAGTCAGATGTATGGTTCCATCCACAGTACAAGGAGGACTTGCATTCATTCAGGCTTGCCCACTGTAATTCAGTTTTATAATTATAAAATCAATACAATTTTCATCTTGATTATGTAAAATTACACAAGGATGTGTGTGTTCATTGTTTCCTACCTGTGCTCAGGGTGAGTATGTGTACAGATGTGCTCACCTAGGGAGACCAGAGGAGGACATCTAATGTAGTGATACGTCATCTTCCATCCTATTAGCTTGAGACTGGACCTAAGCCTGAAGCTCACCATTAGGCCAACTAGTTCCGAGGGTCTACCGGTCTCTGCCCCAGTCTCAGAATTTGTGTTGTAAGTCTATGCACAGTTTTTCCAGTGAGTCCTAGATGTTTGTACGTAAGTCTTCATGCCTGCTCAGCAAGCACTGTTACCCACTGAAGCCTCCCTCCAGCCACTAGGCCTGGAGCTTTATACCCTGCTCCACTTCCCTTCCGTTCCTTGCTGCCTGACTGTAGACACTGTGACCAACACATACACACCTGCTGCTATGCCTTCCTTGCCATGATGAACTAGCCACATCTGTGCTTAGCCTATGAGACAGATAAACACATTCTCTCTTAAGAGGCTTCATTCCTGGTGTTTGTACACAGTATCGAGAAAAGTAACCTAGCACCCGTGGCTGGAAAACCCTGAGTTTATCTAGGTAACCATGTGAGCTTGTGTGCCTTGCCTTAAATCTGATGAACTGATGCTCAGTGATAACTTAGGAAATGCCAACCTTACTAATCTCATGAAGACATGCCATGACTACACCTTTGCCTGCTCCATGGATGGTAAGCTGGTGTTAGCAATAAGGAACAAGACTTCCTGACCCTAACCGGCCGGTAGGAAAATGCCTTTATTGAAAAATCCTCGTGTCTCTATCATCTTACAATGGTTCTCATTACAGTCCAGAGTTTTAAAATCATTGATTTTGTGGGAAGAAGTGAAAAGAACAAAGGTCAGGCTATTTACTGACACATCCCGGAAAGGTCCAGTGCCCTAACAGGACTGAAGGAAGAAAGAACTAATGGGGAATAGTCTACACATAGAGTTGGACCATGGATATCCATGGAGAACGGGGGACACTTGTGAAGTCTTGACCTCTCTTCAGTATCTTACACTCTGACACTTGAAGATCCCTGCCACTTCACCAACTGCAGGCTCAAAAAACAGTGAGAGCATCCACGCAGAAATATTTTCATGAGCTGTGCAACTCTGCAGCATGCTAAGAGACCATTGCAATCCAGGGCCAGCTCGGTGACCCCTATCCCCAGCTTCAGGTCAAGGCCCTGCTTCCCTTCTCTTGCTGTTTCAGGACAGATGGAAAATGAAGAGTCCTTCTGCCTTCTTCTTTTGCCATCCTCTATGGCCTGGAAACAAGGCTTCTGTGCTTCCCCGTCTTTGAAGGGGAAGTGTGCAGAGCAGGCTGTTTAGAAAGCACAGTTGTTATTTATGTTTCCTTGTCTCTGCCACAGTCACCCCACTGTGCTTTTAAGGAGGATTGGGGAGGGAGAGCTGAACCCTGCTGGGAGGAGTAATGAGTTTCCCTAGCTTCTGTGTGAACCAGCTCATTGGAAAGCTAACCTTCTCCCCAGGCACCCAGTACTAATTAAGAGGAGAGGTGGCTGCCTTAGTAGATATCTTCTGAAGCAAATCTCCACTTCTTCTGCTTGGTTTTTTTTTTTTTTTTATCTCTGGAACATCAACTTCTCTTTTTCTTCTTAATTCTCCATATGGATGGGAGGAGGTGTGGAAACGGTGGGCTCGAGTGTTAGTGTAACTCACCAGGGTCTACAAGCACTAGACCTGCCAGCTTTGTCACCTGTAGAGTGACAAAGGTGTACCTGCCCTCAGTGGGGGCTATCTATGTAGAGTACGGGATGGAATTACTTATGTAAATTACATAATACTTGTTATAAAACTACGTCTCAGTAGCCCGCTTCTGTGGATAATTTAATCAGCCCCTGATTTGGCCAACCATTATTAACTGTCACTTTTGTGCAGGACAAGGTGATAGAGTGGACGGTTTTTACAGAGTCTGTTCCAAACTTTCAGGCAAGTGGAAAAACCGCAGAGAACAAGCTATGTAAACAACAATAAGAAACTGAGACATGCTGAGGAGCTATAGTGATGGGACGATAGCGTCATCCTACCTTGGATAGGTGAAAGATGTCTTCCTCTCCTCTTCCATATGTCATTAAAGCTCTGAGAGCTGAATGGAGAAGCAGGGGAAGCTGCATGATCAAAAGTATGTCCCAGCACATGGTAGAGAGTCTCGTGAATGACTACATTTCCCTGCAGGATGCGCCACAGCAAAGGAGGACAGGAGCCCCGCCCTGCACAGCCCACTCTGTGTGCCCAGACCCCAGTGTGATTATTCACTCTGTGAACTGTAGCCTCCTGCCTGCCCCCCCCCCCCACCCCCGTGTGTGTGTGTGTGTGTGTGTGTGTGTGTGTGTGTGTGTATTTGCTGTTACAGTATCTTTCACAGCTAGCAAAGCATTGGGAAGATTCAGTGTCCATTCTGCTAAAATATTTTTGCCTGCAGACTCAAGTGTCAAGCACAGCTGTCTCATGTGTTGTCACTGAGAAAAACTCCAACACACATAGACAGTGCACACAATTGCACACATATACTTGGAATATAAGTGAAAAACTGAGTTCAAGAAATTGCTCCATTGATAAAGTGTTTGTTTGTCTTGCAAACATAGGACCTGAATACCATTCCCAAAACCCACTCAAAAACTTGGCCATGATTCACTTGTAAACCTTTTCTTGGTTAGGTAGAGATGGGTGAACCACTTGGGATCACTGGGAAGCCTATCCATGTTAGCTGTCAAACTCTAAGCCAGTGAGAGGCCTGGACTCTCAGGGAAATAAGGGGGAGCACCTGGGGAAGGGCACTGGAGGTTAACCTCTGGCCTTCACACACCTGTGCATGCACACCTGTACATACAGGAACACTCATATGTATACAAGATTAAAAAATAATGTGTGTTTATTATATGAGGAGATGCTGCTCACCTCTATGTGTCATTCTTTTTTAGAAAATTGGGGAATCTTATAACCCTGAAGACGACAGACAGAAGACTAGAGAAATGGCCTGGTAGTTAAGAGCACTTGTTGCTCTTGCTGCAGAATAGAGTTTGCTTGCTAGCAACCATGTCAGATGACACAAAAGTACCAGTTACTCCAGCTCCGCTAGTGCACGAACCAGGAGACACACACAGATACACATACACATGCAGACACAGAGGTACTGCTTTTAGGGCTCTGATTCTTTTTAAAAATATATTTGTGTGGCCACACAGTGGTGGTACATGTCTTTAATCCAATTACTTGGGAGGCAGTGACAGACAGATCTCTATCAGTTCAAGTCCAGGCTGTTGTACAGAACAAGTTCCAGGACAGCTAGGACTAAACACAGAAATCCTGTATTGAAAAAAAAAAACCAAAAGGGTGTGTGTGTGTGTGTGTGTGTGTGTGTGTGTGTGTGTGTGTGAGTGTGCATGCACGCACGCACGTGCGCAACTGTGTGCTTATGAGAGAGAGTTCACTGTCATCTAGAACTTATTTTGAAGACATTTTGCTTTCTTAACATGTTAAGCTATGATGTCTACACTTGAAATTTGCAAACTCATTGACAAAGAGATTTTATTTACCCCGGGTTCATATGTTGACCTTGGCACTTTGCATGCTACATGAACCTGCAAATTGCTCTGACTCATCAAAGAATATTTCCTCTGCCTGTAAAATGCCATGTGCCTTCACTAGTAGGACTCATGTGAACAGTGTAATGAATTCTCATCACATACTTCCTCTTAAGAAAGTTCTGGAGTTTTCTCTTTCTAATCTGCCTGGAACCTCTTGGGCCATGGCATCAGAGACTGAAACAAGTCAACATTATCCTTCAAGCTGCCCTCACTAAGTAGTCTTTGGACAATTCCATCAGGTGATTCTTAATAAACATGATACAAATCCTAAAAGATTTTTACACTGTTGTGTTCTGGATAATCTTAAGAAGAAACTCATAAGGGCAATCCTCCCACTTGTTTGGCAATCCTCCCACCTTCTGAAAAACAAGTAATGGTGATGTATTTTTGAATGTTTTTCAAGAATCTTTTTTCTAGCCCAAAATACATATAGAAATTGGAAAGTGTCAGAATCTCTGTAAAAATAGGACTCTCTACAGAGATTTTCAAGTAGAATCAATAGGCTTCTCAGGGTGATGGCTGAAGGAGAATGATAAGCTGTCGTGCAAATAATACTATTGAACCCAAGAGCTTGGATTGTGTTACCTGTCACATCAGAGACCTCCTGATCCCAACCTAAAGGAAGTCATCCCCTACAGCTTTGTGTCTACACACCTTGAAAGGAGAGACTCTGTGCTTCTCTCCTTTACAGGGTTATTAAATCCTGTAATTCTTGTACAATTTAATGTATATAAGAAATCTTCAGGACTGGAGAAATGTTTCAGCACTTAAGAGTGCTTGCTGTTCTTGTGTAGGACCCTGGGTTGGTCCCTAGGACCCACATGGCAGCTCATAACCATCTGTAAATCCAGTTATAGAGAATCTGACACTCTCTGGCCTCTGTGGTCAACAGGCATGTACATAGTGCACATGCACATATGAAGTCAAAACACTCACATACATTTTTGAAATAAAGAAAGAAATCTTCACATCAATAGCAAATACTGACAAACTGTGATTTATATTTTCAAACATTTCTAACATGGTACCATAAACTTCATACCTGGTAGTATAACCTTCATACCCGGTACTATAAACTTGGTCTAATGTCCATGACATGGGAGTGACCAGTTACCCTAGGAGCAAATCTACTGTCTTGGTGACTTGTTATATAGTCAAACTGCCTTCTATATATTTATATTTGTACCCATGTTTATAAAAGAGTGCATTGACTGGGCTGTTTTGTACCAAAAGAATGCTTTGAGCAGAACACGAGGTGTACAACAAATTGTAAAGTCCCATCCTTCTCAAAGCTAGAGGCTTGAGTCTCTAGCTGGTTGTCTTCTACTTGCTCCCAAATAACTGCTGTACTCCTTCATGCCAAGTTGCTCCTAGAGGAGGGAAAGGCTAAGTCAATAGAGGGAGCTAACAGAGCTGTAGAAATGATTTACTACAAGAAAGAACATTGAATTGTTGTGTGAGCACAAGGTACTGGTCTGGTGTTTTGGGGTTCTCTAGGGAAAAATAGCTGATGGGATGAATATTATGTATATGTATGTACATATATATTCACATATATAAAGGGACTTTATTAGAGTAGATTAAAGACTGTGACCCAGGTAGGCCAACAATTGCTGTCTACTAAGTCCAAGAATCCAGTAATTATTCAGTCCAAATCCAGTAGTTTTTCAGTCCTCAAGGCTGGGTGTCTCACCTGGTCTTCAGAATACACTGGAATCCTGATAAGTAGGCACTAATTCCAGTGGGAAAAAATGGACATAACAACCAGAGGGGCAAGGAGGAAGCATGCAATGAGAGAGAGCTCTTCCTTCCTCCACGTCATTTATATATGCTTTCACCACAAGTTGTGGTCCAGATAAAAACTGGATCTCTCCACCTTAAAAGATCTGGAGTAAAGGTGGGTCTCCTTGCTTCAAATGATTTAATTAAGAAAAAAGTCCCTCACAGGTATATACAGCTGCTTGGGTTTTGGTTAATTACAGATTTAATCAAGTTGACAACCAAGAGTTGCCATCACAGATGGTGAGAACACAGTTACAGGGTAAAGCCAGTGATCTCCATGGCCCACTTTGACTGACATCCTATTGTTTTATTTTAAATGGTTATTTGTTCGTTTCTCTCAAGACATGCTCATCTTGTTACCTACATGTTGTCAATACAGAACTTAAACTTTTTTTCAATTTTAAAATTATATGTCTTTTCATTGCACATTGACATAGGTGTTAACTTATTGTAGTCTCTATTTTAGTTAAAATATTTATGTCTGCGTATTTATACATTTATGCATGTGTTCATGTGTGTTCAGGTGAATGTGCATGTATAATTAACAGAGCGACTTGGCTGGCATTTTACGGCACTTCTTTTTTTAAGACAGAGTCTCTTACCAAATGGGAACTCACCAAATAGTAGAGCTGGCTGGCCAGAGATCCCTAGGAATCCACTTTTCTCTGCTTCCCCAGCTCGTACTACAATGTCCAGCTTTCATATTTGGGTTCTAGGGATTGCACTCTGGGTCCTCATGCTTTCAAGACAAACACTTCATTGACTGAACCTTCTTTATCTACACCTTTAAAATGTGTATATTTTTGTAATTCACCCCTCATTGTAGAGTGCTTAAAGATGTATTCAGCATTATCTTTACCTCCTTTATGCAGATGAAGACAGATTGAATAAGATTATCTATAGTATTGGTCAAAGCTTCAAGACATCTGCAGTACTTCCCACAACTGAAGCAATAAAGGAATAGTCAGAGAACTCTATCTAAACAAGTGTGTTCTGGACTTGCTTCTGCTATTTCAAATTTTTCATTGAGTTTCAGTGACTTGCTCCAGCCTCCCCCTATTTCTGTGTTCTTAGAAGGCAGGCAGTTTCTTAGTGATCTCTGGCTTCCCATCACCTAGCGTGGTGCCAGGCTGGGAGAGGGTTCTTTGTTCAGATTTGATACTTAGATTAGGAGTCTGGTAGCAAAAGGAAGAAACCCTGCAGTTCAAGTTTCCCATTCAAAAGTTACTTCCCATTGCCAGATGTGTTTTCTTCCTTCAGATGTATTCTGTGGAGATGATGGTCCATAAGGGTGTGATAAAGACTATGCCAACTCCAGAGGCAAATCTTATTAAATGGTGACTTGTTCCATGGTGAAACAAGGATTCTCCCTTTCCTCAGACATGATATGTCAAGAGACATTTTCCTAACAAAAATCTCCTGTTCCAAAGATAGAAAACATTTTCTATGACCCTCCAGGTAGTAAATGTTTCAGGCTTTATGGTCCAGGTGGTCCCTTTTGTGATTTCTCCACTCTTCTATCACAGCATCAGAGAAGTTATGGGTACTAGGTAAGTGAATGTACATATTCATCAATAAAACTTTATTTCAACATCAGATGGCATGCTGGATTTGATGCTTTGATTAGTTTTTTGATCCCTTTCTTAGATTACTACCCCCTTTAGTCTCATAAATTTCTTCTAAATGGCGATGTAGTTTCACTTACCTGTCACAGATTTTAGTGAATAAAAGAACTGATCAGTGAAAGTGTCTTGAGATTGTTAGATCAGATACTCTTCTGTTCTGTGTTCTAAGAACCTTTCAGGCATTCTCAAAACAGATCTTCATTCCCTGGTCGTTTGCATTCAGTATACTGTTTCTTCTTTGTGGCTTTGGGTACAGAGTTGAATTTTAACCAGTGTTGTGATTTCTGTAAATTAATAATCCAAAGCCCTAATGATCTGACACATTCAGATGCACGCTTTATAAAAACATTTCAAGGAATGAGAAAAGAGTGATTAATTGCAAAGATGCAGGTATCTTCTCAGTGAACATTAAGTCTTCCTGTTCCCTAAAACTAGCAAGAGTCTATTGGTTATTTACCCAAAATAACACTAAAGCCACACTGTTCTACTTTCTTCTTATTCAAAATTATAGGCAAATCATTTTCTTTGTCTCTTGGGGGGCAGTTTTGTGTGCCTTGGTTTTGAATCTCTGCACGTCCATGCCATTGTGTTCCTGCATCTGCTCCATGCTGCTAACCAGGCATTTCACAAAGAGAAAACTGTCTTATCCAAGAAGAATAGGGGACAATGGTTCAGGTGTGTTCTACCATCTTACATTAGTGTGTGGTTCACCAGCCACAGCTGTATAACATCACATTTGCTCATAGGAATCACAGGAGTGATATTCCCTCTAATATTTGTCTCTTGCCAGCTTCTCCTAAAGTGCTGTTGTCCTCATTTTTGTAGGGGTAGAAGACATAGGAAGCTTCTAGGCACTTGTATAGTGGAATCTCCCTGTTTCTAGAAGAAAGCATAACACTCCAAAACTTATTATGGCAAAATTAATGCACTTTAAGTTAAGATTTAAGACATAAAACGCAAGTTTATAAATATTTATCATGAAAGACCACATCAACCATATTTTATAGCTCCAATATTACTAGGTCATGTTACTCTCAAAGGTAGTTCATTGATCATGCATGGTTAGTACCTTCAATAAATACAGTATGTATTATTCCTAGGAATGTTTAATTCTTTTAACACTATAATAGTTTTTAAGATAGAATGTTAAAGGCAGTGCATGAGCAACACTCAGGAGGGAAAAGAGTGAAGCTGGTGTTTTGTTTCCTGCTGTGGTGAAGAGTAAGGTTCAGGAGGACTGCTATGAAGGGGAAAGAGAAAAGAAACTCACAAGAAAGGGTTTCATCCCATTATCTCTTCTAAATTCAACACTTCTCATCACTGGAAGCATGTATTTCCCTTAATAAAGCTTTATGGTCCTGTAATACTTGATTTTTTAAGTGCTCTCCTGTCTTAAACTTCACTCTTGCCAAACAGGATGCAACCTTAGTGACTGCATCACAGTGTATGTCACCTTAAAAATCCTTATTCGAGGTGTCAATTCATCTTTTCCCACAGACTAAGTCCTACTTAGTCTTTCAAACTTCTGCAACACATAAGCACAAAGACCTTTTCCTCCTCTTTCCTTCTCCACTTGCTTCAGCTCCTCATCCACTCTGTCTCTTTCCCTCTCCCTGCATTTTATCTGGTAAATCTGGTCAGTAGTCAAGCAAACAGGAAATGTGCAAATTTCACTTGACTTTGTATAAACATGTGCACTGAAGGAGACAATGACTCTGGGGTTTCCCCATATTGAGCATTGAACTATTTCATTGTAAACTTTCTTTTTGCCCCAAGAATGAATCTGGCCTTTCTCCTTCATAAGATAGGGCAGGAAATATCAATAATCCAAGATTCCAGATACTCCATGGTATAGGCTAGTCAAAAGAGTTGCTATCAGGCATTCTCTCAAATTTTTGTGTTTGTTTGTTTTTGTTTTTATCAAGTAAACACACAAGACCACTGAGGCAAAAATTACTTAAGCAATCACCATGCCAGCAAAAAAGTTGGTGAGCAAAAAAAAATTTTTTAATGGTCCCACAATTGATGGCCCTATCAGCAAAATTTCTGTTGTTTTTTTAACAAAAAATGCATTTTCCTCATCCTCATGTCTTTTAAATGATGGCTGAATTTTCTTCTGTGCGCATTATAGACGAAGCTTTTTAAAAATTTAATTTAACACTGTTTTGATATTCTGTATTTTTATTTATTTATTTTTGGCCTGTTTGTCTACATGTCCTCTTTGCCTTTGAAATTAAAGAAGAAAAAAGCAGTAATTTAAAGACAAAGAGCTGGAGCTTAATTACCTTCATGAATTAGTATGACCATAAGCAAGACTCTTTTGTAGCCAGTCTATCAGGCATTGAAGGCATCAGTACTGACACCATCATACTTCGACTCCAAAATATTCTCTGGTGAGTTTCTTGTAACCTTTAATTATATTTCTCATGATATACAGTGAAAAGTAAAGTACGGAGGAGGAGCATTGCCTCTATGAAACCACAGGGTGGCTGAATCATCAAAATCACTTAGGTTATATATTGGGAAGGTTTTGTTGGTTTCCTACATCTTACCACCACCACTGACTTGGTGATGTTGGATCACCGCCATGTCTTTCTTCATATTCTGATCCATAACATAGAACTGATGATCTCTGTGTTGCCTCCATGAGCAGGTTTGGAGACACTCAAATACTACAGCATGGACACAGGCTTTTCTACTGCACATTTAAGTTGATTTCTTGGCTGAGTGGAGATGTACATTTATTTTGAACTCTACTTAATTATGATACTTACATTTATGGGAACATTCAATAATCAAAAGAGAAATGTCACGAAGAAAGAGAAAAGCAAAGGGAAAGATTAATACACACCATGGAAAACCTGGGCTGATGGAATCCATGTTCTAAGGGCAGCTTCATTTCAGAAATCCTAGAGGGTTGCTATTAGTAAGTCAGTCATTCTAGCACTTGAGAACATCTTAAGTAGAAACAAAACAAGCAATCCCTTCCCATCTCTTTGCACACATATTCTTTTGGGAAAGAGAGATGGCACAGATTTATCTTGATAATCAACCTGATAGAATCAATTAACCAATAGAATTACTTCTGGGAATGTCTGCAGAAATTGCCCTAGAGTTTTAACTGATGTTGGAAGACATATCTGGACATATAGACTGGGGGACTGGAAAGAATAAAATGCACGAAGTGATGTGAGTACTGGCCTCCATCTTTCCTGCTTCCTGATGGGAGGCACAATGTGACTAGCTGCCTTTCGTTCCTGCCCCCATACCTTCCCTGTTAAGTTGCTTTCATCAGGAGTTTGGTTACAACAGTGAGAAAAGTTTTCAATAGTATCCTTCTTAAGGCAAGTCTCACATTGTTGTTCAGACTGGCCTGGAACTTATAACCATCCAACAGTCTTCCTGCATCAGCAATTCAAGTTGCTGACATTGTGAGTGTGAGTCATCATGCCATAAATACATGGCAAAAGAAAAAAAAACTAAAAGAGGCGTTATTATCACATAAATAAATATACTAAAGGAAAATATCTAACCATTTAGTTCCCAAGGGCATTTCCTGCAGTATGAAGGAAGTGTATTTTGAATGCTTCATTTCCTCACTGACCTTTGAGAACTACCAAGCCTGAGCACAGTTCCCAACTCAGCAGGAACAAGGTTCTCTTATTACCTTTGAAGTCTGCTCAGAACTCACCTCTCAGGACACAGTGGCAGTGCCCTGGATTGATGCTATATGGAGTGCTATGTGGCTTAGAGTTAAGAAGAGGTGAATCCAGGACCACCACCCAATGCCAAGGAGGAACATTTAGCATACCAACACTTAGATGCCTCAATGAGGAAAAGGGAAGTATGCAGACCCAAGTGTCAGAGAAAAGGACTGTTTGCCTCACTGCAGCCATTAATTAATAGCAATTAAGAGATATTAGCTACTTGAGCAAATCAGACATTTGCTTCCTAATCATGAGCAGCAAATACAGATTTACTAGACTTACAAGACCACCTAAGTGGTTGATTTAGGGGGGCAAGGGACTAGAGATGTCTGTCTCTTGGTAGAAACTCAATTGAAATAACTAACTCTTCCTTTGCATTTGGTACTTACCAGGAACTCCTTTGTCTTTTGGTTGGTTTGCTTTTTATTGATTGTGCTTAATAGAGGGCCCAGTGAGACATTCGTAGCTCAATTTGTTAGGAGCCACTTCCAATTACACTTCATTTGTAATGAAGATGAATGATAATCTGAGTTAACAGGGGAGCAGTATTCAATGCTACCTTAAATATGACTTGGGAAGAGCAATTCAGGGGCCTTTCTAGTGCATAAATTAACGTTCATTCATGATTTAGCCCCAAACTGCCAAGCACCTCACTTAATTTGATGTGCAGGATGAAGTATCCTTGAAAAAAAAAAAAACCCAGCTCGTGCTCTGATTTG